CTTTGTCTGGGCTATGCAATCACACACAAAAAGCTCACATGCTTTACACTACAGTAATTTAAATTTTTGGGGCTGCTGGTTTTGCTTGAAGCTACATATTCCAACTAACTGTAATCAGAAATATATCCACTATCAAAGGTAGAATATTCCCCTCTCTGTCCAGCAGATTGGTTTACTGCAAGAAAACTATCTGCACAAGCAAATATCGCAGACATGTCAGACTTCTAACAGAGCTATGAATTTTGGTAACAGTCAGAGGTAGAACATTAATAACCAGAACCATAAAACAAATCTAAAAACTGCAGAATAATAATAAAAAAAAGATATTTATAGAGGCAGCACAGAAGATGCAATAGTAAAAGAGCCTCCCTCTGGATCATCAATTCATGAGTTCTGCGATCCTAAATAACGGGCATGCTTCCAAACAATAAAATAAAACACATCAACTATTCAAAATCACTAACTCTCCTCTTGCATTCCTTAAAGGTGAATTGCAGCAAATGTATAAATTTTAGTGTGCAGTAACTTGTGTGCATTTTACTACCATAGGAAGTGAACTTCACAGTATTTATTGGAAATCATTATCCTCCTCTGCTTTTTAAAATTAAATTTAAAATTTGTCACAGCAGCAGCAAAGCTGACACAGCCTAATACTGGTGATGGAGTGATACTTTCTGAAAGGACTCCATGGGAAGATCTGCCACGATTTGCCATTAACAGCATCAGTAATGATATTTTCCTGTCAAAAATCTTCAAAAATAAGATAATTAAATGTTTGTGTCTAAGAAGGACTTATGGACAAAATCATAACAAGTCACAGAATATCTTTAACTGATCTAAGCTGCAACATCATTAAACCTCCATGGAAGCAAAACACTCTGCCCTATTTTCAGTCTTATTGGTTAATTAATTCTTTAATTCTTTATAATAATTTCATGTGGGATTCTGAGAGCAGATGTAACCACTTGCTCAATTATGGAGTGCTTCACACCTGCTTTACCCAGACAGAAGAGGCAAGCAGGTGAAAATCAAGCTTCTGCCTATTCTAATCAAGGCATTTTTTGGCAGAAGGAGCATTTTTTTTCTGTTATTCCAAAACACTCCTGCTTGTAAAAATCCCCTACCACCTTGACTACCACTCATGATTCTTAACATGGGGAAACCAGGCCTTTGCTATTAGAATGTTATCAAACACCTAAGGGTCATAACTATAATATGTTATATATACAGCTCAAGGTATACTTGATAAAAGAAAAGTAATAATCAAGGAGGGATGTAGTCAAATGCACATGAAATACAAATCTGAGGTTTTGGGTATGCACACATGCATTTACCTCTTTCATTGTAGGTGGACAGGCAAATATGAAGTGTTTTTATCTGATGTTCATTAATCAACTCATTTGCAGCAGGTGTTGGGGTAGAAATGCTTACTGTTTAGTTGAATATTGTTTTCATTTCAGCCTGAGGAGTGGTGAGGTTTTTCTATTCTGACCTCTTTCACACGATCCCATGCTGATTTACATAAATGGAATTTCACCATGAGTTTCATTAACTCCCTAATATCTTTCCAGGTGCCTTCTGACAAGACATAATTTGTGATTGCTTCTTTCAGTGTTATCAGATGTCTCCTGCAATCCACATCTGTTTATGGAATAAGTCACCTGGTAATTGGTTATTATTTCACACAGGCTTACTGAGATGGACTGGATTTAGACACTATTGTATTGGCAGTGCCTTCAGATCAGGCCTTAGGATTGTGGACCTCTGACCTAACTGCAAATAATGTTAAGGAAAAGCCAAAAAAATAATGCTACTAAATGCAGGGAAACTTCAAAAACAACAACATATGGCACATATGTAACTACTAAGTACCTACCAAGAAATCCTTGGTCTAGCACCATAAATCCTTAATCCAGAGACACCCCCAAAAGAGAGCCCCTAAATAACCTTGTAATAAGAATTCCACACTAAAGAATGGGCTCTAACATTCCCTAATCCATTTGGAGCCTTCTTCAGTACTTGCTTCTGCCTAGCAGGAGCAGTTAGACAGAATACTAAAATGCATATGCAACTGTTTAGTCACTTGAAATCTTTAAACACTAATGGCATCACAATCAAATTGTGGCATTCAGCCTCAGATCCAGACAGACAAGGCTGAATGTGAGCAAATGTAGACAGCTAAATTGAATGTTCATATCAAATGTGTAAGGATCCCTAGCTATGATTTTCCACAAGAATGTGTAAAAGGCAAGCTCTGTCAGCTGAGTTGTTGTAGCTCATGTTTTAAGGAGGTAGACATGGGTTAGGCAGATAACAAAAGAAATGAAAGATTATTCATCATTTGATGTTTTATAAACTATTCTATAACAATCTGTAAAAATGTCAAACAGAAAACCCTTCATTTGGCATTTCCTTGCTGTGTTCTTGTGAGGAATCCAACTCAGCAGGGACTTAAGCCTAACACCTTCAGATCTCCCAAGTTTCGGTTCCCTCTACTACCACAAAAAAAAAAAAAAAAAAAAACCAAAAAAAAAAAAAAAAAAAAAAAAAGGAGCACAGCCAGCTAATGGTGGTAGAAAGCATTGTCATTTTTTCAAACATCAGGCCTTGAAGAAGAGCAGATCATAACAACTGCTCCCAGTTCCTAACTAGAACAGCAAAAGAGTCAAACCTCTTTGTGTATTTTCTACAGTTTATTTCTTCAGGGTTCCAGCAGCTGTTTCCTTCCAGCTGTTTCCTTCCTGTGGTTTATTTTAAATTAACACCACAATTTTGTGAGGAAGTGCTCAGGTGTGAAATAAAATGATAGCACAGTCCTTGTTTTTGATGCTGAAAACAGTGAAAAAATGAAATAAGACTGGCAGATTCCTTAACAAGTATCAAATACATTTCTGTTGGTGATGATAGAGCCTACATGTTGCTGTCCCAAAAAATTTCACTAAAAACTAAAGGTGCCTAAGGCTCTCCATAGAGGTGTGTTTGATATGGATTTTCTTTATTGTGGGAAGGTTACAGAAGTAGTACACAAAGGTATTTTGCAGATAAGGTCAAAATAGCATAGTGATTTCACTGCTGGAATGTTTCTTTCTGTGTATGCTCCTTAATTGTACCTCAGCTTTCCTTTAAGAGAAATAACTTGTTTATTTCAGAAAAAAAAAAAAAAACAAAAACAACAAAAAAACAACTTTCTTCAAGCAACTGAAAAGATAAAAACATGAATTTATTACAACTATGCTTTCATTTCTATAAATTATAGAGTCCGAAAGCAGCTGTCTGTTGCTTTTCTTTATGTAAAGGTGCTATCCCATCCTTTATTGATGTAAACAGGCTTCCATAGAGAGGTGTACAAAGAGCACTGAGACATTTTCAGAAGCAGAGGTGGCCACAGGACAAGGGGTTATGGTGAATGGGGTGACATCAGGCTGGTGACTGGTCACTAGTGGGGTTCTGCAGGGCTTCATGCTTGGCCTAGTTCTCAACATCTTCAACTTGGACACAGGACTCTAAGGTAAATAAGTTTGCAGATTATATAAAAGAAGAGTAGTTGTTGACACCTTTGAAGGTAGAGAGGCCCTGCAGAGAGACCTCAACAAAACAGAGGGCTGGGCAATTACCAACTCTATGAAGTTTAACAAAGACAAGTGCTGGATTCTGCAGCTGGCATGGGGAGGTACACACAGACTGGGAATGAGAGGTTGGAGAGCAGTGTCATGGAAAGGGACTCCCTTTCCATATATCCTAGATGATGGCAAGCTGAACGTGAGCCAGCAGTGCCCTGGCAGCCAGGAGGGCCAACCCTGTCCTGGGAGCCATCAGGCACAGCATCACCAGCCAGGCAGGGGAGGGGATTGTCCTGCTCTGCTCTGCACTGGGGTGGGCTTACCTTGAGTGCTGGGGGCAGTTTTGATTGCCACAGTATATAAAAAGATATAAAGCTATTACAAAGAGGCCAAAGGAAAGTTATGAACATGGTGAAGGGCCTTGAATAGAAGCTGTATGAGGAGCTGCTGAGGTCACTTTATCTGCGCAGCCTGGAGATGGGGAGACAGAGTCTCGCTGCAGTTACAACTTCCCCATGAGGGGCAGAGGAGGGGGAGATGCTGATCTCTTCTCTGTGGTGACAGGACCTAAAGGAATGGAGTTGTGTCAGGGGAGGTTTGTATTGCATATTAGAGAAAGGTTCTGTACTCAGAGGGTGGTTGAGCACTGGAACGGGCTCTCCAGGGAAGCAGTCATAGCACCAAGCTTGACAGAGCTCAAGAAGGGTTTGGAAAAATATTCTTAGCACATGGTGTGACAGCTCATGGTTCTTGGGCTGTCCTGTAAAGGGCCAGGAGTTGGACTTCAGTGATGCCTGTGGTCCCTTCCAACTCAGAATAATCTATGATTCTGTCTTTTTAAGCCTGCCAAATTAGGTGGGAAATTTTGTTTCCACTATGGCTGCCAGTTTTGTCTCATTCCATTCCTGACAGGAAACCCAAAAATTGGCATGACTGATCCCCAGAGTTTGTGAAAATGCAGATATTTTCATTATGAGTCACCTGAATTGATGGCTCAAGCACTCCCATCTGCTCAGCTGCTCAGTATGCCATTAGGCAGCTTACTACCCCAGCAGGCCCACCTGGAGAGCTTGCCCACAGGCATTTCTTCAGACTGCTCCAGACATCTCCTGTCAAATGGGATGGGATACTGATGCAGCAGTTTTCCAGCCCCTGTGGAGACCACTGCTTTTTAGGCGTGGCTGGGCAGGGGTGGACTTGGGCAAAAATTCACATTGAGGGAAATGGAAGGAAAGCAAAAAAATACTTGTTTTCTTGCTATAATAAGAGAACCTTGAAATTTTGCTAGTCCTAGCCTAAAAGTGCTGCTATTGAGTCCACTGCATCTGTTGGCTAATGGAACTAGAGATGCCAAACCAGTTCTCTGCCAAGGGTTATTTTGAAAATTTCCCAGAGGATAGCTGTGGTAACATTGTGATAACATTGCATCATATTATCATCTTAGAGCATTGCATCATGTTTATTTTGGGATGTAGAAAGAAATGCGCTTAGAATTTGTTTTTTGGATCTAGGGATCTGCCAAATGCTCAAAAAGGAGAATCAGACCTCTGATACAGTGCTGAAAAACCCACAAACATCAGGTACTAACTAGAACCTGAGCAGCAAAAGAACAGAGTAAAAGTTACCAAATCCTATTTTGTTTTGTCCTTTTTCCTCAAGAAATTTGAGGAATAATTTCCAAAGGTCATATGACATGGAAATCAGAAGGCAGTCCTCTGAGGTTGATGTAGTGGGTTGATGCTGGCTGGGTGCCAGGCATTCACCAAAGCTGCTCATTCACTTCCCTCTGCAGCTGGAAAGGGGAGAGAAAATAGAATGAAGGGTTAATGAGTTAACTAAATACCATCTCAGGCAAAATAGGCTTGAATTAGAGATGCCAGTCAAATTTATTGCTAACAAAATCAGAATAGGACAATGAGAAGAAAAATAAAACCTTAAAAACACCTTCTCCCTTCCCCTCCCTCCTTCCCAATCCCATCTCCTGCCCCAGAGGTGCAGGGAGACAGGGAATCTGGGTTATTGGCAGTTCATCCCCTGTTGTTTGTCTCACTGCTCAGGGAGAGGAGTAGTTCCCCTGTTCCACTCTGAGGTTGCTCCTATGGGAGATAGCTCTCCATGAACTTCTCCAGCATGAGTCCATCCCATGGGCAACAGCTCTCTGTGAACTGCTTCCATGTGACTCCATCCCACAAACAGCAGTCCTCCCAGAATTGCTGCAGTGTGGGTCACTCTTCCATGGGGTGCAGTCCTCCAAGGACAGGCTGCTCCAGTCTGGGAGCAGGGCCCCTCTCTCCACAGGTCTGCCACAGGGTCACAGCCTCCATTGGGTATTACCTGCTCCAGCACAGGGCTCCTACATGGATTTCAGGTGGATCTCTGCTTCTCCATGGATCTCCACAGGCTGCAGGGACACAGTTGTCTCGCTATGGTCTGCACCACAGGCTGCGGGGGAATCTGAGCTCCAGCACATGCAACATCTCTTTCTCCTCTTTCACCTTTCTGCAGTGCCCTTGGTGCCTGTGGAATTGTTCCTCTTACAGACTCTCACTCTGCTCTCTGGCCACAATTAACTGTGCAATAATGTTTTTTTCTTCTTAAATACATTATCACAGAGGCAATATTCCCATTTCTAATTGTCCTGGCCTCAGTCAGTGGAACATCCAGCTTTGGAGCTGCCAGGGACTGGCCCTGCCAGACATGTAGGAAGCTTCTAGCAGTTTGTCACAGAAGCCACCCCTGTAGCTGCCCCATACCAAAGCCTGGCCATGTCCCAGACCAGGACAGAAAACCAATACAGTTGCCTTGGGAAGATATCTGGAATATGGTGATCATTAATTTTCTGTATTTGAAACTCATTAGAGTAAGACTGCACTAACATAAGAACAATGACATGCAGCAACTAATTTTTTCAGTGTTTGGCTGTTGAATGTATAATTTCCTCCATGCTTCTCAATTTGAACATTTTATTCAGTTCTGGCTTTGGTGTTAATCACTTCCATGTATACATAAATGTTGCTGTTGAACAATGACTCCAAAGCATTTTTACTGAATTATGCAATGTTTTTACCAAAGTTATCAAACTCCTTCACAGAAGTTTTGCGTGGTGTCAACCACTCATTTTGATGGTTTTTATTAAAGCTAACCCACAAAGTAACTTTTACAATACACACTTATAAGTACTGTGACAAATTTTTTGTGAGCCCGTCTAAATACCCCAGAAATAAAACCAAAAGGTATTGTAGGTATCGTAATTGTGTTTAACTAATTGCAGTCTTGTATCTAATTTAATAACACAAAGCAGGTATCCCAATAAATAAGATTATTTCCATGTTCTGCTAGGAAAGGACTAATAAATGAATACAGATATATAGAGGTATATATGCAGGACTGATTTCTGTAGAAACTCCTCTTGTAAAGACAGTTACAGAACCTGGTTGAGTAGCCCTGTATAAAATGAGGAATTTGATGCTGCTTGTCCTTCAAAGCACTGGATAAACGCATTAAACTGGACCTCATCATCTCCCTTAATAGTATTCCTGTTGCTAGGAAACGGTTATCTGGACCCCATCCATAAGCCTTGTCTTTGGTACTGCTTTCATGCTTGCAGCCCTAGCTCTGACATCCTTGAAATTGTGCTTTCATTTTTCATTGTCTATCCTGCTACTTTTTGCCATTTGTTTTTGCTTACAAAATCCAGTTTCGCAAATGAGCAGATAAATATCACGTAACTAACCAGATGAATAAAACAGAGATCTCCTTCAAATTGTATCCTACAAAAATATTCCTGGAGTTGCTTTTTGCCCTCACCATTTTTCTTGGGATAAGTGTTAGTGCGGATGGGACTACTCATGGAAGTTTTTAACTTTCCAAGTATTTACTGAAATGTCTGTATTTATGTGTAAAATACATATTTTTCTTTCCCTTCTCTGCTGAGGTATTTCTTGCACTCACTTACTTCAAGATTATGCTTAATTAGAAGCCTCATTGCTTTGTTTGATGCTCTTTTAGTTGATTTCACTCTGCATATGCAACTTACCATGGATTTAGTAAAGGGAAAGGACACTAGGTCCTCTTTGCTTATCAAGCTTATAAATAGATTGCACAATTTATCTTTCAGAAATCCTAGCAAAGCCAAAATGATAATAATAGCTGTATAATTATTAAAGTATGTTCCTAGCAGAGCTTGTTATCGCCTCTCAAGAATCAATGAAGGAATAGATGCTGTGGATTTAATGATAGGGTTGTTTTAGTGGTTCTTATTTTACAAAACAGAAGCAAGGAGATGGTAAAAAGGTCAAAGAAGGTGGCAAAAAAGGTAAATTCAGCATTCTGCTATAGAAAATGCTCTTTAGGATCCTTCAAGGGTGTTTCTGAAAAGCTGGTCAGAGATATAAAAAAGCCCAAAAATCTAGACTTACCCCATTTAACCTTTTACATATCCCTGATTCAACACAATCTTCAGATATGCATTGCCAGGACACTTTTCCCTCAGCATATCAAACTTCTGACCTTGCAGCTGCTGTAAGTCAGTCACAGCAACACGTCCTGCTGTACCATGTTATAAATAAAGGTAACTTGCTCATCAAATGCCAAAGACTGGCCAGGGTTATACAGACTGATCCTGTATGAACTGCAGTTCTCACACAGGCAAGACCACCACTGACCTGAGACTTTATTTCACTGATGGCTTCAGCTCCCTTTTCATAGGGAGATATAAATCAGGATTCACCCAGACAGAGTCATGGGTTTAGACAGAAAATCCAGTGTGAGTGTAGTGTCCAAGGGCAAATTCCTGTATTCAGTAATCCTTCAGGTTTCACTGCAATGCCTGAAACCTTGCTCCATGGAGAGCTTGTCCACCCAGCTACCTGAAACCACTGAGAATCTTGCCTCTGTGCAAAGTTTTGCATCAATGCTACTGAAAACAATTTTTGAGTAATTTACATTTTTGTTCATTTCTTACACTGCTCTCTTATGGAGTTGGGTTGCTTTAGCCAGACAAGTAAGGTCTTCCTTCTGCTTCTTGCATATGACAGTGTGTCACAAAGGCTCTCACTTAGCCCTGTCATTCTGCATTGCCAATTTAAAATTCATCTTTAAAACAGAAAAGAAGAAATTTGGAGTTGGGGACAAGATGCTGCAAGAATAATCTTTTTGTCCTGAAAGGGGGAGCCTAATGTTCCCTTTTCTGGCTATGAGCCTCAGATTTGCCATTAATGAAATGCTGGAATGCTTGATTTATATCACTAATAAGTGATATAAAATTTGTTTTGCTGCCAATGCAGACTGTTCAGAATGCAGGATGTGAACTGATAAACATGTATTCTAGATCACAGTGAGCCCAGAAAAGAGACAACATTGTAAAACATCCTACAGAGCACAGTCTTGCCATGAAAATCCCAGCATTAGTGATAACTACCCTTCAGTGAATTCAGAAATTACCCTGTGAATCTTTAGCGTCAAAAAGACATAGACATTGTCCTTGGATTTTACATCCAAATCCTAGCACTCACTGCAAGCTCTGATTTCAGAAAAACAAATTGTTCCGGTTTTAAGGCTGCCTTTGGGTGATATTGTTAACAGGACAATATATTTACAGACCAAACCAAATACAGCTTTAGCCAAATTCTTGTTTTGCTGAGGAAGACCTGATCACAACTTTATTACTTGAATTTGCCTGGCTGTCATTCATTAAAATATGAGTACCAGATATTTCACTCTGGGCCCAGTGACAAGGGTAAACAGTGCCACAGTAAAGGAGTTTAAGATATGCTCCAGCTGTCCCCTACAACTCCTCTGTCCTAAATATATCTCTGCAGTGGTTTAACTGGCTTAGTTTCCAGAAAGAATGGCAGAGGTTTAACTTTAGAATGAGCAATAAATAAAACAGGGGGTTTAGGGAAAGTTTTGTTCTCACCACACAACAGAGTACAGGACTTAAGAAGTAGCTTTGCTGTCCCTGTGTTTTGTTTTGAAAAGAATTTTTGAAAAAGCATGATCACCAAGAATATAGTTCATCTCTTATTTGTATTATCCTCTTTCAAAGTCTCAGTAAAACTCTCCCTTTTCTTATGTCTTTGCTAACATACCTTGGCAAAACCTTGGCAACAGTCAGGTTTTGCTCTGCTAAGAACAGCGCCTATCAGGCTGGTGGGGAAGTTCTTACTGCTTCCTTACACTCCCCTTCTCCATCTGCTGCTTAATATGCAGCATTTATAGCTCCTGTGGCAGGAGCTGTCTCGCGGCTGTGGGCTTGTGAAGGAGGTACTGGTCCAAGGACAAAACTCTCAGTTCTAAATTCTAGAAATAATATTACTTTTCAAGGTTTCTGAACTGTGTTGGTATTTATGGCAGTGACAGACAACTTCATAAAAAATGTCGAGGCATGAGTTCCCCCATTCACTCTTGCCTTTCTCTTTGCCTGTGAGATGAGAGGAGAGGAGAGGAGAGGAGAGGAGAGGAGAGGAGAGGAGAG